CTGCAACACCGTTTTTATGTCATAACTGTTATTCTAAAAAAAGGCAAAAATACAGAAGAGGTGGAAGGATACAGACTGATCTCTCTCCTTAATGTAGATCAGAAGATACTGTCAAAGACTCTCGCAAATAGACTTGGTAGATTAATTAGTGGTCTAATTCATCCTGATCAGAATGGATTTAGTCCTGGCAGGAATGTTTCACAAAATACTAGGCGCCTTTTTTAACATAATGCACCATTCCAAAGCTATTCAAGAAAATCTGGTATTAATCTCTCTCGATGCTGAAAAAACATTTGATACAGTGGAATGGCACTATCTCTTCGCAGTACTAGAAACAAATTTGACATGTGTGATAAATTTATAAATTGGGTTAAGATTTTGTATAAAAGTCCTATAGCTCATGTATTAACTAATAATACTTTGTTTGGTCCCTTTAGTCTCCAAAGAGGGACTAGGCAAGGTTGCCCCCTTTCTGCTCTCTTTATTTGCGCTGACCATAGAGCCCTTGCTCAATACATTCGTTCTGACTCTTCTATTCATGGCTTTAACACTTTAAAATCAGGAACTAAAATATCTTTATATGCAGATGATATCCTGCTCCCAAACCCCATGTGAGTCTGCCGGTTATTTTGGATACTATTAATGTCTTTGGGATGTTTTCGGGGTTTAAAGTTAATTTAAATAAAAGTGAGCTAATGTCCATTGGACTAAAAGATTTGTCTCCATTTAAAGACTCAATGAAAAAATTTACTTATCTTGGAATTGCAGTTACCAATAAATATTCTTCGCTCTTAAAGGCCAACTTGACCCTGTTATTTTCCAAACTGCAAGCTAATATACAATTTTGGAGAGCACTAACGATTTCTCTATTTGGTAGAATAAATGCAATTAAAATTATATTCTTGCCACAGATAATTTATCTATTCTATTTTTTTCTACCTAAATCCTTTTTTAAGCAATTACACTCGATTATTTGTCCGTTCTCCAATCGCTAAGAATCCATAATTTACCCCATCAAGATTGGATGGGACCTTTGTGCAAAATTTGAAGAAATGGGTGTACGTACTATAGGGGACCTTTTCATTGATGGGGCTCTGGCATCCTTTAGTCAGCTGCAACAGAAATTTAAATTCCCTCAGAGTCATTTTTTTAGATTTCAAAAGATTAGGAATTATATATGTCCTCACACACCTTCATTGGATAATACATCACCCTCAATTATTGATGTGTCTTGATCAGTGTAAAGGAAGTAAAAAGGCATTATCGATCATTAAAAATCCTTTATTTCTCCCTCTACAAGTTTTCTTAAGGAAGAATGGGAGAAGGAACTAGGAGTGGAAATTTCTGAGGAATCATGGCAGACGAGTTTCAAGGATATTAAAGAACATTCTATCAATTCTAGACACTGCCTTATTAAGTCATTCACAGACTACATTATTCAAAAAAGAAACTACATAGAATTTTACAAAATGTCCCACGTCTTTGTGACAAATGTAATTCAGTAGATGCTGATTTATGTATTTTTTGCTCCAAGATACAGAGTTATTGGAATGAAATTTTTGATGTGCTTTCAGAGATTTTTATGGTGCAAATGCAGCCGGATCCGGCACTTTTCATTCTGGGACTTTCTGAACGTATGCATCCATTATCAGGAGCACAACACAATCTGCTCGTGTACATTTTAATTACAGCCAAGAAGCTACTACTGTTGTTCTGGAAGAAAAAGGAGGCTCTGTCTCTTTTTTCTGTTATCTTGATGGAAACCCTATGGACGAATGCATCATTTGTTGATGTAATGTTTTAATATTTCTTCATCATACTTTACAATTTAATGTAAACAGGTCTGCTAAGGGATGCTTTGTGATGTGTTTTGTCCTCTCTCTTTTCTAATTTTGATTTTATTCTTTGTATAGGTTAAAGAGACTAAATATGTAAGATTGCAGATCCATCTTCAAAATCTTTGTCTTTCAATAAAACTTATTTGACACAAAAAATATATATAAATATATATATATATATATATATTTTTTTTGTTTGTTTGTTTGTTAATTATTCAATTTCTTCTGAGTAATAAGCATTGTGTACTCGGCCATGTATAAAGCACATTGGAATTTTTTCTAGATCTTTAGACGTGACTTTATGGTGCTTTGGAAGCCTGTATGAATCCATTCTTTCATAGAAACCGTCATACAAAACACTTGTGTTCAGTTTCGGACACGGAGTGTATCAGATCAGGGGACGTCACGGCCGTTTACGGACCCACGGAAGTGAGGCGTGTCTCCTCTGATTGGATTTTAATGGAAATGAGGGTGAGTGGGTCATCCTTCGGCTATTTCCGATGGGTCATGTCAAACCCATAAGGATAGTCGAAGGAGATGAGTCGACACAGTTATCATTTACAATCACCTTCAAAAGATGTAAACACACGGGAAGAACAACGCTCATCACTGGTGACTCACTTCAAAACAAAACAAAAAAACTTTTACAGAAGTATTAGACACTTCATTCTCACGCACTCTTGAGCTTATGCATGATGAAGAGATGCAAAGGAAAGAGAGAGAGGAGATTGTTAGAGGGAATTGACAGAGGTAAGAGGCGGATGAGACAGGCTCATTTACACCACAAAGACGCCAACAACTGCAGCAGGCCACAGATGAAAGACTTTAAAGAAGAATCAATATATTACTGCCACTCCACCAATCCCTCATCAGTATCAAAAATAATTGGGGCTAAACAAACCCTGAACGGAAAAACAAAAAAACAACAACAACATCAAAGCCTTCAAACAACAGTCCACAAAATAACAGATTAACAAATAAAACAGAATTAATAAATAAATTGTTCACAACACAAAGCTTTGAAACTGTACGGTCTATTGTCCTTTTATTCCATCACTAAATGATCTCTCAAATTTATCTGTGTAAACAAACACGCACACACGCATCAAGTTGCAAAGTGAACTACAGAAAAAAATGTAAATATCAAACTTAATATATTTTTTAAAAGAATCAAAACTACATTCAAAAAACGATGCCAATTTAACAATAATTAAACTCAAAAATCAAAGACTGAAGAACGTCAAAACAACGGGTATAAATTGCCAGCTCTCAATTAACTGCAATGCAAGGTAATTAAAAGCTAGATTAGAATAGATAGGCTGTTGTTTTTGAGTTTCTTTCAAGAAACACCAAGCAGCCATTGATTTGTTTGTCTGAATAAACAATCTGAAAGTATATATAATAACAATGTGCAGGGTATAATGGCATTACATGATTTGAAAACCATCTGCATTATTTCAAGATTAATTCTACAGGACTGTGAGAATGAAAACTGAGCTGTTTTAATGTGCTTGGTCTTTTATCATTTTTTATTTATTTATTTTTTAACGCTTTGTGATGTGCAGTTTCCAAGGTTTCAAGATATCTTTTTCTCCTTGAGCACAATACTAAATCCCAGGCTTAATATTTGATGGCTAAGAGTACTTCGAAGACATTACACAAGAAAAATGACGTTATTGGAAGCATAAAAGTAAGCTTACATACATAAAAATGTTTGGGAAACCTTTACAATGAACCATGAAGCAATCAAAGTGTAAACACAATCTAATTACTAAGTTATTGTAAATAAGAAGGTTATCAGTTAAAGTCAGTGTTGTTGTTTTTAACTAAACCAAAAACTAAAATGAACTGAAATGAAGTTGAAAGTAAATAAATATAAATATTAGATGAAAACTTCAAAGAAAATGTAAATGTATTCACAACTAACTGAAATAAATATATATATAAATGGCAAAAGAATAAAATGGCAAAAGCGCATACTGAAATTACTTAAACTAAAATTAAAATGAAAACTGAAAATATAAAAATAAAAACGAATTCAAAATATTAATAACTACTAGAGTATATATAAATAATACATACTTTTTGTAAAGACACAAAAATATTATACACAAACATATAATATAAAATAACAATAATTTTACAAAATAAAAAAAATTTTGTTAAAATTTGTTAATGTTTTCAAAGTTTATTTATTATTAAATAATTATATACTTAATATTGTAATTTACATTTTGTTAAATATAATTAATTAACCTATTATAATCTAGTGTAAAAATAAATATATATAATATATAATTTATATTTTTGTATTTTTACATTTAAATTTACTAGCTTGTGCATTTACAAACTATAGTATGACAGTAGCTCTGACAACACTTACATGTGACTAAACAGCTACATAAAGCACAAAATGTCACTCATGTTGACCAGTAACTTTTTCACTCTAGTACTGCAGATATTCCATCCCATCTCTATCAAGCTATGCAAAAACATTAAAATATCGCCTGCGGCAAACAGGAACCCGGGAAGGAAAACACAGAAGCAGAGAGGGAACAAAAGGAATACGGCCAGAATCAATAACAAAGATATGTCCAAAAATCAATGTTCATTCGAAGAGGTAACCGCCAGACAGGACTATCATTTTGGTGGGTGAGGTATGACTCTTCAGATTCAAACAACAATGATGTGAAACCCCATTACAGAAAAGGGCAATGGAGGGCAGCACTGGGACCTCTAATGGATCAGCGCTGAGAGGTGGCATAAAGAGAGTCATCTCAGAGATGAGGAGAGGGGAGAAGAAAGACGAGGGACGGGATACATTTCTTAAGGTTCTTATTGTGAGTAAGGCGACACGGATTGAAGATTTACCAAAAAAAGCTTGTTTGCAAACCATGAAGTAAAGCATGCGAGGCGTGCCACACTTGCCCAGTAATCAAAGTGGATCATAGGTGAATGGCTGTGATTGTTCAGGAAACACTGTAGTACCTCTTAGACGTCTTAAATGCCATTAAGATCTATTAGTGGACTATTAGCATGTGAAAGCTTGTGGAAAACTCAAGGGCTCTTTGATGTTCACAAATGAGAACTAATTGAAAAGGACACGAGTTGGGAATGTGAGCAGAATGTATTCAGCTTGCATATTTCTTAGCCTTGGTTCACCTGGAGTAATTGAAGAGTCGACTACCCCACAGTGAGTGGTTTCCTCTGGAGCCTCCGTGAAAGAAGCAGGAGTCCGTCCCATCAAAGTAGTTCAGCCCATCTTCTGTGTTGCTGGAGGCGTGACTATGGACCACGTCCAGAAGAACCGTGATGCCCATGGAGTGTGCAGTATCAACCAGATGCTTCAGATCATCAGGAGTGCCGAAGCGGCTGAGGGAAAAGAGAATACGAGGTTTTTAGAATAAATTGGTGTTTGATAGATTGATGGTTATGAGGAGTTGTAAACTAGCTGATAAAGTCCATGTAACGGTATGTTGCTTGGAATAAAAAGGTCAACTGAATAACTAATTAGCAGCTAATTATAAAATACTACTATCCACATGATATAATATTTACCTTTAATGGCAAATCTCATAAATAATATGAATGGAAAGGAGATATCCTTTAGCAATAGGATTGGGAAACAAGAACCAGTCCTTATATTAATAATAATTTTATTATTATTATTAATAAACAGGGCACAAAAATATAGTTCACTTAATTACATCATTACAATTACATTAACATTATATATTGTGTTGCAATCAGTTGCATTTTATAAAAAAACAAATACATAAATATTTTACTATATGTTTTGAATTAAAAATAAAATATTTTAAAATGTAATTTATTTATTACTATATAATGGTTTTGTTGCAGATACATTTTATATACATAAATATACAGAATATATTTTAAATTTGTATTATTAAAATATAAATAATAAAAAATCTTCCTCAAAAGTACTAAAAGAATCATTAAAGAACCTGATTCATTCTGAGGAATCAAATCAGAATCACTGCCTTTTTTTCTGATGAAAATATGGCACAAGATTTTTGAGACATTTGAGACAATCACCGGCAGATTGTAAAAAAATATGGACGACACGGCTATACTTCCTTCCATTACAGAAAAGTGAAGCCAAAAACATCTCAGTATGGCCACTGTCATCTTGCGAAAATGATGTCATTTGGAGCCAGAGTTCGTGCAGTAGTGATTCTAAGGTAGAGAAAGTCCCGCCCAAACTCCCGCAGACCCAATTGCAAACTCACAATCATGATGCCACACTCCATTTTTATAGCATCAAATAACTAATTAAAAGCAAACTTATTAGAAAAAAACAAAAACAAAGACTCGAACATACATCAGCGTGATAAGAACTACCTAAAATGAAGAAAACCATCTTTGGGAAAAAATTATTTGAAGTTTAATTTGATTATTTAGTTTGGCTCATGTCCCATTCGTTTACATGGAGAGGGCGGGGTTTATGACCTATACTGCAGCGAGCCACCAGATGGCTTTACTTTTCAGGTTGTGTGAGGCACACTTGCAATCACCTTGGCCATAAATGACATAACACCTAATGACATTTTTGTGATTTATATGTTGCTTGCAAAAATGTATTTAATCAGAATACAAGATTTTAAATGGCCATTGATGGAAAAACATGATTTTTGCCTGCATAATGGTCTAGTTATGGCATCTACTACCAGAAACTAACAACTAAAGCTAATCAAATCACAGCTAAATAAAGAGCCTCGTGCAGAATAAAAAAAGGGTGTGGATTCTGATCCAAGGGTAAAATCACAAAAAACAAATGCTCCCAAACTCCCAGCATGCCCAGCGGTATATTTACTCCACTGGGTTAAAAGATATCAGGACAAAGAACAAGTAAAGTGAGAAGAGAGCTAATGATTTTCCAAGTCACCTCCCTTGCTTGCTCCCTCCACCCAGCAGAAAGAGGAATAGGTCCTAAATGTGCATGAGTGATCAATCATGAGTGAAATTACTGTGTATACATTGCACTTTATCTGGACTGGTCCACCAGTGCTGGTCGCCTCAGCCAGCCAAAGCCAAATAAAGATTCCCAATGACTCTGTCATATCTTATTAGGTTGAGGGAGTTGCTCACTCCCCACATTCAAAGATGCAATTTTCTTTCATGAGAGTTTATTTATTTTGGAGACCCAATTCTGTTTTTTACTATTGTTATTTATCGGGGCTTTCTTCTATTTGGGGATTAGTGGCAAATGTGTTTACTGTAAGATTACTGCCCTTGACAGAGGACCTCATCCTGATTTAAGGACTGGAATTACTGCTGCATGGGCTGAGAGACAACCCCACCAAACCCTGAGCTCTAAAGGAAAATGAAAAGCATTTAGATACTGCCACACGCTCAGTCTACCAGGCCTTGTAGATATAACACTAATAAATCAAATGTGACCAGGGCACAGCTAATGCATTTTGGTGAAGGAGAAGTGCATGTTCTTGCCATATCCGGAACAACTAGATCTGAAGTCCCGAGGTGAATATAATTTCCTTGGGGACAAAGGTGTTAACCTTCATTCTTAAAAATACAATACATAACCGCCTTGACAAATTTAAAGCTGTTAGTGGTCCGACAGCTTCATGACGGAAATGCAAACATAGCATATGCATTGTACAGCAGTGGTTGTTCTATTCTATTTTGCCTAGCTTTGACCATGTGAGGATGATGGAATGAAGTGACAGATGAATTTACACTAAATATTGAGTTTGACTGCACAATGACAAAAGATATGGAAAGTTTCTCCTCCTTTTGAAAAGTTACGCCTATTTATGTAATTATACACAGCATTGTCCAGAACAGACCAACCACCCATTTTTGGGTTGCCACCCACCAATTAAGACCCCTGTTATACACTGCTACAGTGACTATGCATTTTATTTAACAACATAGCTTTGGTTTGGATGTCTTTACTCATGACTAAAACAGTTGTATAGCACCCCAACACAAATAACACATTATTTAGCTGATGCAGGATTGAACCTACAAGCTTTAGGTTACTAGCCCAATTCTTTATCCACCAAGCCACACCATTCACACATGAATGCAACCTTTAATTGCCAGAAACATGATATATGAACTATATTTCAAGTCTACTTAGGGATATACATTCAAACCTCTTAGGTTATGGGTTCGATTCCCAGAGAATGCATGAACTGATAAAATATATGCATTGAATGCAAGTCGTTTTGGATAAAAGCATCTGCCAAATGCATAAATGTAAATGTACCTGGAAGCTGCAAAGAAGTTAGTGACCTGATAGCCAAAGCTTGCATAGTAGGCATGTTCCATGATTGCCATGAGCTGGACACAGTTGTATCCTGAGATGAAAATATAAGGGGAAAAAAAGTGTAGAAAAGAAAAAGCATTTTAAATTAGTTTTACAGTCAAAAGACCTTTAACAAAACAAGATCTTCAAAGTGAAACTCATCTAAGGCGTAATCTTTGTGTAAGTTGTTATCTTAACAATATAGATTAATTTCAAGTGCTGTGACATCCACACTGGAAAATGTAAATGAATTAAAACATAATTAAAAACGAGTGAAACCAAAGCATAGGATTAAATGTCAACTGCAGCATGATCTGAATCTTCAATAGCAAAACGACAGCATGATAAATTACAATTTAGATGATATTATGCATGAAAACAATATGTGAACAGTGTAAACACTTTCTGTGAATAATCAGCCTATATGATAAAATTATAGCTATAGATTTTGATAAAGAACGTCAAAGAAGTTTCGAAACTCCAGTTTCAGGTGGTTTAGGAATTCTCCTTCAGGATCTGTTTCCTGGCCCAGCTACCCTTGGGCTTAAGTACACATCCTTTAATTATACATAAATGGATCTATCCTGTGAGTAAGAAAATTTTGATAAATTGACCATTTCTGTTGGTATTTTTATGGGTACTTAAAACTTAAAATGTTTATTTAACAGAACTAATAGGTTGTTTTCTATCTGAATTGTGTCATTCTTTATAACTGTGTTGCAATTAGTCTCGGAGAGAGAACTGAGGTAAAACAGTAATTACTAAAAAGCCATTTCTCCATTTCAGTTCACTCAATCTTGTTCCATGGTGTCCCCAACAAAGGTTATTCTTTTGACATTTTTTTTTTCAAGCCGTTTTACGAAAACAATAACGCAAGGGAAATTCCAGGATTCAATAACATCAAATCAAACTGCTGTGAGTCCAGGCAAACTTAAACTTATTACCCCTCCTTTAACAAGTATGACTAAAGCATTTGTCATAGCTGAGATACAAGTACATACATTTAAATCCTACGCAGGTGCTTTGAGCGTCGTCTGTGATCTTCCAACTGAACATTTCCACAGTGTTTGATACTTGAGAACGGCACCAAAATATAATACAATACTGAATATTAATATTTCACATTTCATGATGTGTGCTCATCATATCGAAGGAAAAGGTACTGGTAGTGCCATAAAACTTTTTTACAAACACCTTGAGCAGCAAATCAGCATATCAGAATGATATGTGAAACTCAGTTTTCATGTGACACTGAAAACTGGAAAATGGTTGTTGAAAACACATTAAAAGAAAATGGCTGCTTAAAATACATTAAAATACAAAGCAATATTTTTTGGATAGAAATGTGTTGTCACTTGTATATCTTGCAGTGGTCGTGACTGTACCCAATTCATCTGAGAGATTAACCATTGTTTGTTCCCTTTCAGTCGGTCACTCTCGACGTCACGTCGGATGACCGACGAATTGGGATCTCGCTTAGAGGGACCAATCTACTTCGAGTGTAAACTAAACGAGCCAATGCACATTGGCATGCGATTATTGCATCCAGCTGCTGCTGATCACAGCGTGAGTATAAGTAGGCAGCAGATGCAGCGCATATTCAGCTTTTCACTTCAGAGCCGAGCGGTTCTATCGTTCTGCTCCTGACCTTCTACTACTCACGCTGTGATCAGCAGCAGCTGGATGCAATAATCGCATGCCAATGTGCATTGGCTCGTTTAGTTTACACTCGAAGTAGATTGGTCCCTCTAAGCGAGATCCCAATTCGTCGGTCATCCGACGTGACGTCTCCGTTCCCTCCTTCAGGGAACGAGGGTTACATACGTAACCGAGACGTTTTTTCACAGCATAGTACTAAATAAGCTAGACTTGCCTTCCTCCGCTTCTGCGATACTTGCGTTTAACTCCTTTTGTTTGCCAATCACTTTTTCATGTGGATTTTGATTTAAGTCATAGTACAAAGGATGCTTTTGTGTCCCGCTCATCTGACTCAGTTCTTCCTCCGCCGCACAATCTGTTTTCAATGGATTTAAACATCAGACCTGTCAAGCAACAATGAAAAATCCCAATAACTCAAGGGCAGGCCATATGTAACGTATAATAATATGAAAACCTTGTTTTCCAAATAGAAATTTTCCTTTCATGACATTTATTTTGATATTCGATGCCTTTTTTTAAGGCATAGACTGAGTACTGTAGTGCTTGTGACATTTAACTTTTTATATTAGAAGTCCATTTCATCATGTATTCCTGTGCAACAAGAAATTACTTAAAAATAATTCTCTGAATCGATAATTTTTTTTTTCAGGGAAAAATAAGACATGAAAGGATTTATGGGCAAAATAAGGGCACCACCATTTCTAAAACTAGTGCCAAAAAGCTCTTACATTAGGAGACAATGCGCAGCTTTGCTTTTGTTGCTTTCTGGAGGGTTGAGGAGCACATTAACTGAGGCACAGAACCCCGGGGAGAGTGCCGATCATGAGAGAGAGCAGTCAAAGGAGCCACAATGACTCACTATTTTAACACCCATTAAAGGGGTGAAAAACAATTTTACGCTAACTAACTCACTGCTTACAAACAGATTTGCTCCAGGCAAAGGTTAGCGCTTCAGCCCTCGAGAAAACAAACAACAGAAGGTTATGTTTTATGGATCAGACCAATGCAATGAACACTAATGTTTAAGGTACCATTTGTAATCCCCACAGCTCAAAAAACCTAATTTGGATCCTTCTGACATAGTAATTGTAGGCTGGCTTCCTCTCAGGCTTCCATGTCAAAAGCTCTGTAAGGGAACAATCATGGGAAACAGCTCTCTGTGCAGTAATGGAATCCCTCGAGGCGGCAGCTGTTCTCACATCTGCTAACTAAACTTAACAGTCCGCTTGCGACAGTTAGCATGATATTCCATGTGGAACTGCTTGGCGTCTGCCTCTTTTGCTTAATTTGTGCCACTGCTGTATGCATGATCTTTTTAGGTTGCATCTTGAGCTGTTTTCTTAGAACTACGCTCTGTAGTTTTTCTTAGAGGATGCAAGGATGGCAGTGCTTTCTCTAAAAACATGATGACGACATAATTTGACAAAATATGAGATCAAATGGTGTGTAAATTACTTATGGGTCAATGACAGAAGAGTGTCCATGATTTAAAATAAATAAATAAAACTGGCAAGATTTTATAAGCTTTTATAATATTTATGGCATTTTCAAGAAAAAAATTAAAGACTTTAAAATGTCATGTATTGCAACATCAAATGTACAGAACTTAATTATTATTTACAAAAAAAAGTTTTTAAAGTTAAAGTTTTTATTTATTTTAAATTGTTTTATGAATTATTAACATAAATATCATTTTGTTTTTGGGGAGTCACACTACATGGCATTTTACAACCTTAACTAACCCTGCCTTGTTATAAAATAGTGAACTTTTCTCATATATTTAAAGACAAATTGACCTTGACACACAGTCACGTGACTTAGAATTTGGACTTTGAATTTTTGTTCAAATATTAGTAAGCAGTGAAGCAGTTTTTTTCTAAGAAATAATAACTGCTTTTAATATGGTTTTTACTAAGAATGAAAGCTTTTTCTTCATTATAATATCAGGACAGTTGTATCACTCTGGCATTTTGACTTTATACACCATTACTCACCAATTTAAAAAAGAAAAAAAAGAAAGAAAAAAGGATTTTAATTCAGAAATTAAAAACATACTCAAAAGCGGTGTATCCCTTTAAATGCATGATTTGCATTTTTAATAAATTAATAGAGAGGCATGCAATGGCCCTCATGTTTCTGAAGTAACACTCTCCAACAGCATTTAGTTATATTCCTTTGCTGCCTGCTAGTGCAGTGATAAATAAAGAATAAGATAAACTCAACCACGCTATTTAACACAATGAAAACATGCTCGGTCTGTCATAGTCAAGTATACTTCTTTCAAATCTGATTTAGCAAATTCACCTTGCTCATATGGATTCTTTGATCAACAGTACGTTTTTTCTTAAAGCCTAAAGATTTCTTCTGGCCCCGGAGCTCAGGGTTAGCGATTGGCCCTCAGAGAGCGGTGTGTTCCACTTTGCTTAGTTTGTATCATTTTGACGTGTGTGTTTTGGCAGTGTTTCTTTAGATTTCATCACTCACCAAGATCCTTAATGCGAGGAAGCACATCTCTGGTGAAGTTTTTGTACGAGGCAATCTTTTCCTCAGGCGAACTGATGCGAGAGAGAAAGGGCCCAGATATCAATCCACTCTTCTTCAGTGAGCTTTGATGAGATATTTTGCTAGAAGGTTCTGCTGAGCATCTGGGTTACCTCAAAGATCCATCCTGATGCAACACAACACAAATATTTGACTTGATTGACTCGCTTGCAACAATACAATAGAGACTGAGTTCTCAGTCTAAGCCTAGAGTTTTGAGCTTGAAAATGTAGAAAATGCAACTTAGAGCAAACCTTTTTTAAATTAATTAATTTATTAAGTTTTTTTCACCCACAACAATGCAAGTAATATAATATAATATAACATAATATAATAATATGATATAATATAATAATAATTTTGATTATTATATTACAATGTTGGAATAATCTAAATTTGGGCTTTTCCCAGCAAATAGTGATATAAGTGATTAATTTATCACCATATTATTTCATTAATTCATTTGGAGGGCTTGACTCAGAAAATATGGTGCAAGTTTTTTTTTTTTTTTTTTTATTTTTTCACCATATTGCTTAATTCATTTAAAAGGGAATTTTATATTGAATTATATTATATATATATAGTATGTTATATTATATTACAATACATTACATATATTACAAGTCAGTGCTCCTGAATATATAATATAATATAATATAATATAATATAATATAATGATGCATCTTTTATTTATTGATTTATGTGATTAATCTGATTAATTTATCACCATATTATTGGTTTAATTGATAATTGATTTAATTTTGAAAAAAAATGACAGTTTATTTTAAAAGAAAATGCCAGTTCTGAATGTAATATAATTTTAATATAATATTGGTTTTAGTGTGGCAATCTTTTCGGTTTTATTGCCAGACATAACATAGGCAATTACATATATAGGCACACAGAAGTGAAATGCAAAAAAAGAAAGCTAATTCAATTGTGGCTCACTGAAAAGGATGCCATTTCCAGAAAGCAAAAAGCAATATTTCCTGCCTTTAATCATGCAGCAACCGCTTTAACTGCCAGATGACATCGTCTCACCAATTCATCTCCTGTAAAAAAAAAAAAAAAACTAGATCATGAGCATGATGCCATTGACCACAGTCGCTGTTTGAATGTCTGATGCCATGAATAGATATCAAAGGAAAGTATGTCTCATTGTCATTGTGGAAGAACCACCCATATCAAAGCCGCCTGCAAATGGTTCTTCAGCGAAACGAAGACATCAAGAGGGCGAAAGCAATTGTTGAATTGCCTCCGATTAAATTGGCTGTTTAATGTGACGGGCCACTTAAGAGGAGGCGGTTTCGAGTGTCATTACTAGCACGGAAGAGGGGTAGCCGTAAGAGCGGGGTGCTTCAGAGATGCTAATGACTACCGATGATAAATGGTCGAGAGCCACAGGAAGGCCACATGCTCGCCTGAACAACATCACGGTCCTGTAAACATTCCCTCCCGCTTTGACTTCTATTGTAAACTACCTCCACCCCAAAAACAAATAGTGAATTTTAAAGATTAATAAAAAACGGGTGTTTCCACAACCTTTTGGCCCTATGGGCATTCAGAAAAAAACAATGAAAAGTATATAGCAATTATAAATCTTTAATCTTATAAATTCAAGAGAGAGGATTCGTGTGTGTGTGTGTGGTGAAACTGAAATATCTTGGTTCTTGGAAGCAGCTATCAGTCGATGATGACTGGTGTGATATACGATTCTCCACTGACCCTCTGCAGGGCAAAACCTGATTGTAATAGGTTAAACCACGCCAGAGTCCATAACTCAAACCCTCCTCCCTGACAGCTCAGAAAGCATCTGCCTGAACCTGTAACACTGGAAACCTCTGAGAGCATGTGCTTGTGTGTGAGAAGCAAACAGAGATAGAAGAACTGAGTTTATGTGTGCAAAGTACCAAGAAAGACTCCTGTCTGGAAATATGTTGCTGTGTTAAAAACCTGGGTATACCATTTAGTACATATTTTTATGCTCAAAATTAGCATCTCTGAAGCTTTTGTTTATTTATTGTCTGTTTGTTTGTTACTTGCAGTGACTAAGTATAAAACAATGATGTATAAATAGTATCTCATATTATTTGTACATAGTTATCTGTAAATAGTTTCTGCCTTTTTTGTTATATCTGGTTCTCAAAACCCTGTGAGGGTAAAATGGGTTTTTCACACTTCTTTTCAGTGCTGCAACATTCTAGTAATTGAGATCCAAAAAAAAAAAAAAAAACTAACAGTCAAAGGCATCCTTTCACAGATTTTTGACTATGAATCTCAAACAGATGAAACAGCAAATTCGCCATGGATGATTCAGAAGACGAGTCTTCAATTTTGAGTAAACTTTGAGTCTTAAATGTCATAACTTCTCATGTATTTCATATTTTAGTGTTTGACTAGTAGTTGCAAAAAAAGTTTTTTCTTTTTTCTGACACTCACTGTTTTTCAAGTGTTTTCAAGTGTCTTCATCTGTTTATTTTTGGCAAATTGTGTGAAAACCAATGGGGTTCAATTTGACTTAAAGGGGTCATATGATGCGATTTAAATTTTTCCTTTCTCTTATATTTGAAGCAAGTTTTTTGGGTAGGGTAGGGCTTGTTGTTTGTCATTTCTCCGATCACAAATGCAGACATGGTTTTATGTTTACGCGGCACGATGCAACGCAATGCGTAAAAAGACAGTATAAGTCATTATAATCCATAATTATGTCCCCACTGGATGCAACAAATGCCTCGTTTATAATGGGTTTTCATGTTTTTGAATCATCGCTCCGGCCTGACAGGGCATCATCACAGTATGGTAGGGGCGTAACATTTTCGTCACACGCTTGAGGTATTCGGCCAATCACAACGCACTGGATAGCTGGCCAATCACAGCACACCTTGCTTTTCAGACCGATGAGCTTTGTAAAAATCGATGCGTTTCAGAAAAGCATAGAGGAGAAACAATAATGTACAGTATGTGGAAAATAATGTGTTTTTTGAACCTTAAACCGCATAAACACATTTCATTACACCAAATACACAAAATAATGTTCTTTTTAGCAACATCATATGACCCCTTTAACACATTCATGGCCCTAAATGAGAAAGAAATTCGCATCACAAAAATTCAAGAAATAAACACTTTAACAAGTGTTTCAAGTAGTTTAAATATCGAATGAGTGTCAGATTGACCCCAATACAATGGGAGGGTCCTAAAGTGTCTTGAATAATTGCTCAGAATAATTCTATTGTGTGTATATTTCTACTCAGCTGTGTACACTCACCTGGTATCGTTGTAGAGGGTCCCAGTGAGTCCAGTCATAGGTGACAGAATCAAATGTTTTTGTGACATATTTGGCCCAGGGAGAGGTCCAAAACAGATATTCGCCTGTTTTAGTCAGGACCACAAGCTACAGACAGAAATGGCAAATGTGACATTTTTGTGATTGCACATGTGATTGTGATTTTTATGGTTCTTTTTTTTTTATGCAAAATAGAAGCATCTAGACATATACATAAAAATAAACGATATATATTTGTATTTCACATTTTGCTTATTTATTTATTTATTTGGAAAGAAAAAAAGCAAAGATGCATTAAATTGATCAAAAATGACATTTATAATGTTACAAAATGTTTATATTTCAAATAAATGTCGTTCTTTTTAACTTTCTATTAATTAAAAAATTATTATGGTTTCCACAAAATTTTAAACAGCTCAACTCTTTTCAACACTGATAATAAGAATAAATGTTTCTTGAGCAGCAAATCAGCATTACAATGATTTTGGAAAGATCATGCGACACTGAAGACTAATGGTTGCTGAAATACTAATATTCATACTAATATTTCACTGTTCTTAGTGTATTTTTGATCAAATAAACACAGCCTTGGTCAGCAGAAGAGACTTTCTTCAAAAACAATTTTTCAGACCCCAAACTTCTGAACGGTAGTGTGTGTTTCTGTTTATACGCACACATGTATACAATTTAAATGTGTGAATGCTGTATATTATGCAAAATTATAATTTTCCAGGCAACTCTGTTGGGGTTCCTGTGTGCTGCTAGTTGATGCCATGGTTTAAAAGAACCATTTATTAAAAAGAAAATATTGAGAGCTTTTCATCTAGATTCTAAAAACAGCACTTTGTCATAACCATGCCACATTTGATTAATATTATGACAAAATTAAGATTTCCTTCCTCCTCCACTGCTCTTTTCCAAACCCACCTCTGTTCATAAGCCTACCTGATTTAGTAAAAACTCTGACACACACACACACACACACACACACCAGGTGGACAGGTGTTTGTTGATGAGAGCTGACAGAGGGGAGGAGAAGAGCAGAAGAAAACAAAGCACTTTAAGAAGGTCCATCATTGCTTCAATCTCTCGGGGGGCAGCTTGGAGATTGTCACAGATCGATAGCCCTACCAATGAGACAAGTGAACTGACCCATGATAGCTCATACATTTTTTTCATGAGTACACACTCTGCTGAAAATAAATAAGCAGTGAACTGGTCTTCCAGCTTGGCTAAACATATCTAAAAACAGCTTGGTCAAGCTGGAAGACCAACTAGACCTGAATAAACCATCTTGACCATACTCAATCTCTCGGGGGGCAGCTTGGAGATTGTCACAGATCGATAGTCGCTCTGGAGACACATTGGGGCGGGACGAAACATCCTTAAACCGCTCTGCTCGGCTTTGCACAGACTATTACCAAGCTAAGAACATACCATCGCTTTACTGACAGCAGAAATAACACTGTGACTTTGAGAAAGAATGACAGAGAAAGACAGAAAGAGACAGATGACTTGGAGAGTGACTTAGAGTGTGACTGTGAAAAGCAAGAGGAATAGAGTTTACCAGTAGAGTTCCGGAAGAAAAATGCCATTAACGCCATTCATATCTAAGGTAAATAGACTTTTAATACATTCTCAGAAAAAAGGGTACAAAAGCTGTCCCTGGGATGGTACCTTTTCAAAAGTTACATTTTTGTACCTTATTTACCCCTATTAGTACCTTAAAGGTACATATTAGTGCGTAAAGTATGAGCATTTTTAACAGGTTCCTATATTTATGTTCATTTATTTCACTTTAATGGCATAGAAAAGGACCTATACATTGCCATTAAAGTAAAATTACTGAACCTAAACATAGGAGCCTGATAAAAATGCTATTTTTAGAAGAAAATTTCAAACGGCACTTAGAGGCTTTTTCATTTGAACTCTTCATATTATTACCTAAATGGTAGGTATACATTACTATTTTCTGAGTGTAGGGATGCACCAACATTAAAAATTATGTAGCATTAAAATGTTATGGATATTAAAATTCTATACTATTTAATCTTAATCTAAAATGTCAATATAGCGGAAATTAACATGCACAATTAAACATATAGCCTACCATTTGCACATATTTATTCAATATTTCACATTGGTTTTAAAAGGAATTTCTGACATTTGATTTGTATTGTGCATTTCTAATAGCCTATTCAGCAACTTTATATATATATATCAAGCTGGAAGACCAACTAGACCTGAATAAACCATCTTGACCATACTGGAAAACAAGCTAAACCAGATGAAACCAGCTAAGACCAGCATCCACTTAAGGCTGGTTTATTTAATTTTTTATTTTTTATTTTTCGAACCAAGTTATACAATCAAATGGAGCCAGTTTATTCTATAATAAATAATTTTCTAAAATGCATATAGAAAAAAATATGGTAAATATACTGTACTTCTGGACTCAAAAGTATAGCTGAAAAAAGTATTATCCTTGAGTTTAATAGAGAGTGAATGTATTTGTATTGGCGCTATACAATTACAGAAGCTGCATCTGGCAGGTACATTTCTCAGCCTTATAGAACGAGCCAGACAGGACCATTTAAAGATTAGCCTGAGTTTAATTTAGAGTGAACGAACAATCTCGTCTGCATTTAGCGCAAGAGTAAAGTTCACCTAGGTACTTTTCATCTTTAAAGTGACATCAGACCTTTAATTGTATTTCATTGCTATCAAAGCATCCTCCCTCTGATCTGTCATAACACTCTCCACCTGAGTCCAGCCTCAAATCTCACATGACAATCAATAAGTAAAGGACCTGAAGTGTTAATAGGGCTCCTGAGTAAACATCTGGAAATTTCTGTGTAGACGGAGAGATATGGAGGGTTAAAGTTGCTTAGGTTTTTCCAACTTCATAGGTTTTTCCCACTTCATGCACACACACACACACACACACACACACACAGGCGCTATATCTCTTCCCACACACTTTCAGTGAGAAGAAACCCCTAGAAAACTCTCCTTTCTCCTCACTTCCTTCAGACTCCAGTTAACAGTGTTTTGATTTCCCTCGAGACGATGACTATACCCCTGAACCAGCTGTCTGGAGTCACTGAGGTATCTCTCAACAAACAGAAGCACAACAAAAAGAATGTACCCACATAGAGAATTAAACATGGCCTTGCAGGAGAGCTTGCTTGGAGATCTCTGAGCTACCCTGGGATCTGTATTGATCACCTTCGGCTGCTAAAAGTCTTTAAGCATCTAGTGTTCCTGGTGTTTTTAAAATGCAATATCACTACACAGGGTACTGAAATATTCATGCCTGAATAAATGAGGTTCGGGATTGCAGGTCCTGATGATAAAAAAAAAAAAAAAAGCTGAGTTGATTTTAACTAATGCTTACAGCAGGTTTTAAATTCATTTGGCACCCAGCAGAAGGCCGTGTGTGGGAAATCCATCAGGCAACGCTGATTAAGGGGACGATGAAAGGGAATCTCATGAAACATTGAGAGTGCATGCACCTGAGAACGTGTGCATGTGTGAAATAGCACTGACAAACGCAGGCCTCTCTTTTACCACATGCTTAGAATTTTAAACTAAATCAGGTCTACTTATCGATAGACTCATGCACTGATTGTCACTGAGATGCTAAAATGAATTCATGAGTAATCACAGTCTTTCTTCCCCTATTGTGCATCGGAAAGTCAGAGGTGTTTCTATAAATGAAGTTAAAAAGTTAAATAATTATCTGTATAACTACTATATACTACTACTTAAATCAAATGAATATCAAATATCAGTTCAGCTAAAAAATTTTTTAAAAAGAAACTATTCTCTAACATAAATCAGAAATGATGCATTGTTACATACTATATATATATATATAGTATGTAACAATGCATCATTTCTGATTTATGTTAGAGAATAGTTTCTTTTAAAAAAATCTTACTGACCCCAAACATTTGAACCATAGTATACAGAAATAAATAAATTATACATAAAATAGTAGTAGTAGTATGGTATAAATAACAAATAAAAAGGGCTATATGATTATTTTAGAATTACTTTTGATTATTTTCCATGCTTAGTCAAAATGAGTTGTTCATGTTCTCTGCTCAAAACTAGCTGATTATTTTTTTTATAAAGAAGGTTAGAAAAGAGGCCAATACACACAGGTTACACACCTCCAGCATGCCTGAAGGAGAATTTGAAGTAGGGGAGAAAAGACACGGACCTGGTGAGAATGAGGAAAAATTACCAGAGTGAGAGATATACAATTCAATCAGAGCCTCCAACAGGATATTCTGAAGGAAGGAAGGGCAAAAGAGAGAAAAGTGCACTCCTGGCTGAAGTTCAGCTGCCCCAGTTTCCATACGTTAAACCTGGCCACTCACCACCCATTAAAATCCTTCCCTGCAGGCTTAAAGATGCTGTGTATGACAGCCAATTACCTTATACAAACCTCCACACAGACCCAGGACTCCATCTGTCCACCTAACACACAGGGAAAAAGAGAGAATTCAGCCACTGACTGCTTTTATGGACATAAATGGACTTCCCTTCTGCTCTCACTCACTTGCTCCAAAACAAAATACACTCACCTCTCATTTTTTCTTCTCAATAATGGCCATTCAGTTTCTCAACCCTTTAATTTTAGCCTAAATAAATGGAAAAATACAAAAGGACACAAAATCTCAGTACACTTTACCCGACTCAGGAGAAGGAAATTGCGGAAAGCAGGACTCACAGCAGTAACATGAAAATCACCCTTAAAGTAAATGATTTATGAAAAGAGTTCATGAGCAAACATCTCAGAGATGGAGGTGAGCTTCAATGTGTGGCCATCTCCTATATGTGCAGATATGAATGGCGGTTTAGATATGAATGGCGTTACAGTTTTTAGTTTCAATTAATGAAAAAATGGGTAGAGTAAAGAATATAAATTAAGCATGAAGAACAATTATGTCAATTTCAAATATAAACATTGGCTACCAGAAATCCCTCACTCTGCCTTTAAGGCAAAACAAATACTTTTTTCATGCACTGGTCAAATTTGAGATTTTGGGCTATTTTGCTTCCAACACGTCTTCTAGTGGAAAGAAAAATGTCTTTTTTTCTGTTGACAGTATTTTCTTATTTATGGGGTGATAAAAAAACATATCCAAAATCCCCTCATTTAAAATCTTTAATTTTAATATGTCAACAAAATGAAACAATAATTTTGAACCTGGGTTTATCCACTGTTCAGATTTCTATTCTGGAAATGTATGCAAATTAGTAATAATATTTAATATTTAATTAAATAATGCCTAACTTGCATATTTAAAGGGGTCACATTATGCGATTTCAATTTTTCCTTTCTCTTTGGAGTGTTGAAAGCTCTTGGTGCATAAAGAAGATCTGTAAAGTTGCAAAGACTAAAGTTTCAAATCCAAAGAGATATTCTTTATAAAAGTTAAGAGTCAACCATGCTAAAACGGCTCATTCTAACATGCCCCCACATGTCTACGTCACGATGTGGGAAGATTTGCATAACGCCACCCAAATGTTCACGCAAAGAAAGAAAGCGTAACTTTTATTCTCGCTGTAGTATTGTTGACACTGCAGCCATGTCGTGAAGACGCTGTGTGCTTCGTTGTGAAAGCGAAGCTACTTTGATTAGCTTGAATACAAACAGCTTTCCTGCTGTTAACAGGACATAGTGTTTAACTAATCATGAGCAATCGGACCAGTGCTGCTTCCTCAATAAAGTTTATCATTCTCATGTGTTTTAAGCCTTGTCAGTTTAAATATTAAAGTGTTTTAAGCCATTCAAGTATGAGACAGCACAAAATAGATTTCAATGCGGTACTTACACGCTGTGATATACCTTTTCTGAAAGAGATTTAAATGCGGTACTCACGCGTTGTGATAGATCATTTCTGTTCGCGCCGGCGGCGCCGCACACACACAAAGCC